CTTGGCCCAGAAGAGCAACCAAGAGGTTTTGAAAGAGGCTGGAGCCTGAAGTCAACTTATCACAGAATTTTTCTGCCATGTTATGAGAAGAGGGAAAATGGAATATGTTGTGACCACTGGAAAGATCTGTGGAAGGATGGATAGAGGAAGACAACGAGAGAAGATTCTTGACAGTCCTGATGCATGGCATGGATGTGTGTAAGTTGTCAATTGGTACATGCTGCAGTAGATCGCGGATTGTAGAGAGGTGTGATCGCTCATGTCAGTCTTCAAGGCACCTGATGATGATACTAAATAATTAAAATACCTTTTAATCAATAAGATGTATTTTGAATATTACACTCTTTCTACATTTATATGTACCATTCATCATTCAACCGATAACATAAGCAATACTACGCCAGATGTCTTTACATCCACAAAACGTTTATCAGATCTAATATTGGGCAATCTAACAATGGAAACCAAAGTCAAACACGTCCAAAAGTATAGTCGTGTTAGGCTGTGAGATGTACACCAACTAACACTAACCCTACTTCTCCCCCCCCCCCCCCCCAATAACATTTTACCTTCCCGGGAACTCCCAAAGAAATCTCGGAGTTCCAGAGAAGGGTAAAATAAAATAAAAGAGCTTAATTAAATAGTATAGTTACTAATGTATACATAGTACAACAGGCAACTTACGGTATCATCCCAGCTCATCTCATCCACACCAGTTTCAAAAATGGTCTCAAAATCCAGGTTGATGCGCTCCTGTGAGTTGTACAAAAACATAAATGAACACAAATAATCCTACTGTGAAATGAATACTCTATGCCCCAAAACCATTCCTTTTCATTTTTTATTAGAAGAAATTGTCACGTTCAACCAGCACCCCCAAAGGGGGAGCTTTCAGTTATAATTGTAACTTAGGCTATTTGTGCCAGATTAAATTGCTTAACATTACTCACACTAGAAAGGATTCTTGCAGTGTTGACACGATCAGAAGAAACAGACCCAAATACTGTCCCGACTGATGACGAAATCGTCTACCGGCCAGCCAATGGGTGACAGGTAGAGAATGGTCCACAAACATTTTTGAATCACTAATATTCACAAGAATTTTCTAATATTTGGAGCTCCAGTAATGTAGTGGCTAAAAGCTTACCTGCAGGCCCGAAGGTCTTGGGTTCAAATATGCATGAAATTGGGATTCAACCTTGGCTCCCAGGTCGACCCAGCCTACAATATGTACCAGGTAACGTTATGGGAAGTCAACGTGGCCGGCAGCAGGATGTTGACCACATCCCTCATCGAGTACCAAACAGTCTATACAAGTGAGACTAATATCTTGCGTGAAAAGGGTTCTTTGCTCACTAACTTTTTTTTCCCTACTTTAAATGTAGACTAAACCAAACATTGCCTAATATAACTGCTGACAGAGAAGTCTGGCAATCTTTCTGGCAAACCTCTACATCCCAAGGTAGATGAGGAGTGACTAAGTAAGTAAATAAGAACATATTGTGTTATTTTTGTTGTTGCTGAAAAAATATGTTTAATCTACTTCCTGGCTACAGTGTAACGTTTGTTTATCCAGAGAGCTTTTTTTCCGCAAATCAAGCAATTCACTGTGAGTGTCTTGGACAGTTCAAAGACAACATACTTTTCTTGAATTTTTCTATAACAGATAATATATATTAACTTACTTACTGTAAGAAGCTTGTTAGTTTAACTTTTTCGGCCTTAATGTCTTTTGTGTAAACTCACCAGACTAAACATTTAACATCTTTAATTAGAAAAAAAAAAAAAACATAGACAAAGTTTGAGTAATCACTGTGTGAGGCTAAAAGAATTAAAAAGATAACTTTCGGAGTGAAACTGATAAAGGTAGTTATCGCCCAATCCAGACGTCCAGCCCCAAAGAAACATTTACAGTTATGTGTTGCAATGCTATCCTTTCCTTTCTGAAACATAAAAAAGCAAACTATGTATGCAAAACTGGCATTGGAAGTCATCCGCAGAGGGCACATTAGGTTGCGACAAGATCACAATTCAGCCCTGAACATACTGACTCCTTTGAGATTTTACCCAAAACCATGGGCGCCAACACAAAGAAAACATGGGGATGTGAGGTCTACACATTTTCTGTAAGCAGCTGAAGATGTAAGGCGGCCCGGGGGAGGGGGGGGGGGAGGGCAAGTACCTACAAAATAATTTGAGATGCATGGGTGAATGGTAAAAAAAAAAAACTTTATGGTTAGTCTCCATATAGATTTGGAGGGGCGGGGGGGGGGGGGTGGGCCTCAGGGGATTGAGGCCGCGAGTTCCAGTACCTAAAATGTCCTATTATATATATATATATATGTGAAGTAAAAAGGAATACTTAAATAATGTTTCAAAAAATGTAAAGAGCATTTCCACACCTTGAAGTGCATCAGTCATTTTGTCCAACCTCATACTTCAGTATAGAAATCAGCACTAGAATAAATAACGTGGTCAACCTTGACTTCCCAGGATTTTCACTTTACCAACTTTCAGCTAGGCATACATAGGAGACTATGTCTATTTTAAAGAATCAAACTCGATGCGGATTTGAACCAGTGACTACTGAGTGGGCTAGCAAGTGTGCTACCAAGGTTCCCATTACAAAATTCGGTAAGACACAAATTATATGAATATAACAATTTAAAATTCTCATTGCGTCTTATGGGCTATTACCTTGAGGTTTACCATACCATTCTGCGATTTGGTGAATTTATGATGAACTGATACATGACAAGGTAGATGTGGTCAGGGTCCTTTAGGAACAAGTAACGAAGTCAGAAGAGAAACTGGATTATTAAGCCTGGAGAAAATGATGCACCTTGGTTTGACTAGAGGGTCTGGCCGGATCACTACAGTACGAGGAAAGGCAAGACAGACATATAACCAGACTACGACCGGCACTATTAGTATTGGGACTCTGCATTGGCTGCTGAAGATGGGGTTGGAGCGCAAATGGGAATTCCCTGAGTGCTGTGATGTCAATTCTTGTCTCAACTCAACTCTGCGATTAAAATTCATCTGGACTGCAGACATAAAAGCCAGATCCCAGATACCCTGTTCAACCTTCAAAGAAGTTATGCATGCACCTGTAATGTATACACCTGCCAGGTGTAAACTGCAGCCCTATGGGGGGGGGGTAAGGACGGTTAGCCTGCAACATTTCTAGAGGGAAAACTATATATATATAGTTACCTTAATAAGCCCAACAAGCATCAGTTTGTTCACATACACAGCCGCAGTATGTCCATAGTAGAAGACCAGGGGAAGTCGAAGGCGATCCGGACACTTGTAGAACACGGTTTCATCTGTGGTCGAATTACAAATGTTACACATTCATTATTTGATTGTTTAGTAATGCGATTTGACAATTTTCCCCGTATGGGTTCTTGAGCCAAATCCTGCGGTTATGTGCGTGCACTCGCGGGCGAGCACGCACGCACGCACACACACAAAACAGACTTCACTACAAACATTGTAAAAGGTAATTAATTAGAGCTTTTCTGAAATCGAATGTGTTGGGCGGAAAGGCGAAGATATTGCAGTTTTTCTGTAAACTACAACACATCGCACCAGCCGCATTTTTAATGACAAATTTAAAGAAGAAGGAGGAAGAGAAGAAGAAGTAGAGGAAGGACAAGAAGATTTAGAGTACACTCAGTTATAAGGTGGTAACATTGCATGCAAATGAAATCAGTAGACAACAGACAGAGGCCGTTTTTGTTAAGACACACAGTGAGGAAACCCGGTAATAGTATAACGAGAAAATTATCTTTCACTGGGACCCGAAGGAATAAATAGACATGAGGTGACTCAAAAACACTGTAGAAAGAGAATTACAGTCAGAGGTAACTAAGACGAGGAGGGTATGACCAGCTGCAGGAGATGGAAACAGACAGGTATCCTTGATTGCACTGGTTGAGAATCTAGTGAGGCAAAAGAAGAGAGTCAACTATTTTCTAAATCGGACTTCTAGCAAATCCTTTCTTGTAAATTTGTGTTCGAAACTACACCTTCAAAAGAAAACTAATGAAAGTAGAAAATCTGGCGTAGTGGGTAATAAACAGGCAGACATATTGGCTAGATCTGCACCACAGGGGGGGGGGGTGAATTGATGCATAACAAGGTAGATGTGGTCAAGGCCCTGTGGAAATAAGCAACGGAGTCAGTAGAGAAAGAAGATTATTAGGGCCTGGAGAGAATGAGGCACCTGTGTGTAACCAGAGGGTCTGGCCGGCTGACTACGCTCAGGGGAAAGGCAAGACGGACATTTAACCAGATTGTGACCAGTACCATCAGTATTGGAACTCTACGCTGGCTGCTGAAAATGAGGACAGAGCACGCATGGGAATGCCCCGAGTGCTGTGATGTCTATTCTTGACTAAACTCAGGTAGAAAACTATGTAAAAAAAAAAAAAGTAAATGTTCTTCAGTCATGTAATAGGAAGAGGAGTATTGGAAAACGTGATGACTAAACAGATTGGTTAGGGGTGGGGGGGGGGGGGGGGGGGGGTAATAAAGTATGCGATGTTTGCCGACGGGAAGCGATGGCATGGAGGAATATAATATCATCTGTGAAATTTATTCAAAATACCAAGGACCGAGATCTGTGATTTTATGTTCCTACAAGCTGCTTTAAACCCATGTATGTCTTGATACCAGGTTACTAACAATGCAACTGTTCTGCTTCTGTGCTTTCATTTGTTTGTTTGCGTTCACCGACTGTACACTGCGAAATGTCTTGGATCAGCGTCCATTGCTGGACTTTGCCGAGTGTTGGATTCCAGGACTTGAGTTTTATCTGCACCTTTGTTTTAAAGGGTGCTTTTTTGAGTCTTGGGCATATAGGGTTAAACCTGTGTTTTTTTTATAGACCAATCGGCACTAGGTGGGTGATGTGGTCAGCATAACACCGGCCGACATTATGTCCCAGATTTTTACCTGCGATCTGATTAGGATTGGGTCGACCTGTGAACTAAGATCATTTTTTTTAAAAGTCCAGCTCACTAAAGACCTAAACCCACAACCTTCGAATCTGACTGACTGACTTTCTACCCCACCAGGACATCACACAAGAGGTCTCAGAAACCGCGTTCAGACAATTGGCCATATTTATGGCCTGTCTATATTGCGGCCCCTGGCAAAAGCCAGAGTGGGGCTTCAAATAACAACAAATTACGCCCTAAAAAGGACGTAGTCAGGCTTACCCGTTTTTAGGTTTTTACTTAACTATGCTTCTGTGCTTTCAAATTCTTTACTTAATAAAGTTTTAATCAGTTTGGACGGGAATAATATAATGTTTTAATTTACAGTCTTGACAAATTATAATTAATTATATAAATTATAATAAAGGTAATTACCTTTCAAGCCGAGGAAGATGCTTTCATTCAGGTCATAACTGTTGTTGAAATAGTCAGTTATCTGCCTGTGAGAAAGAAGGGGAGGAAAGGAAAAAAAACCACAGTTACTATCTCCTAATTTACTTCCCCGAAGGTGTCTTCTGACAAATACTGCCTTTATTGTAATTGTACCACTTCTGCGGTGTAGGCAGGGGGGTCTTTGAGCCTGAGGTTTTAAGGCTGCATGACCAGTGATGTCCCCACGACTGTGCAGGTGAGGATTTTATTTTGCCCTCCGACAGAAAAAAATCCCTAGCCTTACCAAGGATTCGAACATGGGTCTAAAGGGTGTTCACCTGGCATTCTCAAAGACCTTGAGATCTTTGCCGGCGTTAGCGTAGCTACCAGCAGAGCCTCCAAAGACGGATAGATCAAAGGGTAGAGAACAGACAGACAGAGCACACACAGGTACTTCAGGTCAGGGTTGCCAGATAAGAAACTTCATTTTATGCCAGACCATTACCCAAAATATAACAGGAAAATGCCAAATGAAATGTAACACTGTACTCACTTCACATCAAAGGCTCTAGATTAAATTCTTCACTGTCATTTTCACTGGAAACAGTGAAAGATAGAGCGTAAACCTTTTCGGATGTAAAATCTTTAAGCATTTTCTCAGATGGGATGAAGTCTTTGCAACTCATCTATAATGATGGCATATTTCTTGTTTCGAAAATCATCAATAAGGTCATCCATAAGTGCAGGCGATATAATATTTTTTTAGGCATGAAAATTTTGTTCTATGCGACTGTATGTGCTCCAATGTAAACCCCCCCCCCCCCCCCCCCCCGACCATGCGCTCTCATGATTTCACTTAGATGATCAATTGTGCGTATTGCACAAAGGCTGGTCATGCTTACAGCAAGTTGCAACTCTGCTGCTTTAACTTTATCATTACTTTGCCTAGGCCCTTATTACAGTTGTAATAAGCTGTGATGGGCTTTTTGACGGAGTTTTCATGCTGTTTTTTTTCGGATTTTTTAATGATTTAATGTGCTTCTAGTTCTTGGTGCAACAGTGCACTGACACAGTTTGCGAAATGCTGCCTCTGATCCGTCTGAAGATCTTTTGAGCCGTGGGTATGTTTTCTTCCAGTTACTATTATACTTGCGATGTCACGAAGTGCTTTCCATTTGGGGGAGGGGGGATGACGTGGCTATTAGCAAAAGTAATAAAATCTATGAAAGATAGAACTAGGTCTATTTCCTCTCTATTTTCTGTCCTCAAGTAGTTTCGGAACAGTCTAAATCACTTGGTACCAGTGGTAGGTTTTGGTTTTATATCCCGCATTTATTCTAGTAGATTATCGAAGTCATTATCCGTTCAGGAAGACAGCAAATACAAAAAGAAATGGCACGAATTTCCGTTGGTTCGTACCAGGACATCACAACAAAATCAAACTGAAGATGTTAACTGAAGGTCTACATTGCTTTTAGTAAATCTGCGTGTTTCTAACAGAGAAACCATGAAGAAAATGTGAGCACGTCTTGATAAGAAAATCCAGTAAAAACCCAAATATGCCAGAATATTCCAGTTCATTATCTTATGCCGGTTCAATTTCAAAAATGCCAAATTTGTGGAATCTGGCATAAAAAATGCCAATATGGCAACCCTACTTCAGGTCGGGGGTTGAAGCCTTAGGTCGATACGCTCCCCTTCTTTTTCCCCGTAAAACTTCATTTCGTCACGAAACAGATATTTAATCCTTAATTTCGGATTGATTTAAAGGGACAACGACACTGAAACTTTAAGGGGTGTCACCAACTGCAAAGACAAGGCCGACCAGAGAGATGAAAGGAGGAGGTTAAAAGATATATTAATTCATACATTAGAGGCACGCCGTTAGTCTACAGATCGCCATAATATGATAGTAAACCATTATGGCAATCCAGTGTTCGGATCCATTCCTCCGTGCAGTTTCACAAAATATTGCAACTGAGAGTGTCCACTATTCTTGTTTATATTAGGGGGGTGAGGGAGGGGTGGGTGGGTGGGTGGGGGGGGGGGGGGGGGAGATATCTTTTGGCGCATTCTGCAGTCATTTTATATGGTTGGAAAAGGGGCATAGACCCACCTCACTTAACAAGCATCCCGTAAAAGGCAAATTATTAGGGATATGATGACATCGGATGTGTTGGGTCGAAATCTGATGCTAACTTATCAATGGAGTTGGCCTACAACCGGTGGTGTGTAAATGGGGAGACCATAGTATAAATAACCCATCAAGTAATCGACATCCCTCACCCACAAGGTTTTGTATCGGGGTCCCTGATTGCGCATATCGACTGCACGTGGCAACTTAGGTTAGTTGCGTATCCTTTACAGGACGTTGCAGAACTAACCCCAACAGCCCCTGGCTGTTGTGTGGTTTTTCTAGGCAAATTTACGTCAAGTAGTTTGCCATTTCTTCTGGAAGGTCGGCTTTCTTGATACCACTGTCGAAACCAACACAAGGCGCTTGGCCCGCAGCTAGGATCGAACCCGGCATCCCGGCCTTACGAAGCGTTCCCATCGACTTAGCCACAGAGCCGACACGTGGCAACTATATATTTAATTCAGTTAATTTATGTTCACACGTTAAATGCATTTAAATTGATAAAAGACATTTGCGACTAAGCCGCTTCCGGAATCAAAACATGGTCACTTAATTGTTTTATCTTGTAGATAAAGATAAGGTTTTAAAAAGTGATTTAGATAGGTCAAGATCACATACCATTCAAGAAAAAACGCTGGGAACAAATGTTTCTTTAGCCAGCACTAAATACAAGAAGGACGTAGGTCATAAAGGAAGGAAGCGAGAGAGATATGGGGAGAGAGGGGAGAGGATGGGGAGAGAGATATGGGGAGAGGAAGGGAGAGGAAGGGAGGAGAGAGAAATTTCCTGGTAATAATGCACCCCCTCCCCTCTCTTCCCAACCATGTATAGAAGTTCTCTTTATAAGTATTTGCTTCTTTGTTTCATATTATTTCACATTTATAATTATATTTGTAGCCGTTCAGCACATGTATTAGTATTATGCATTTAACAAAAGCTTTAGTTCATTTGCCCCCCTCCCCCACACACGTAAAACGTTTGAAGTCTAAAAGGTATTGTAACGAGCACCTCTAACGCCCAAATTAAATCCAAATGATCTACCTAGCTCAGACAAGACTTCATCTCATCTAAAGCAAAACATTTATGGTGAATGGCTGATATTTCATTCCGTGATAACACGGGAACCACAATACAAAGTTTAGAATTCTCAACAGTGAACTTGATCTAATTCATACAACCGCTTAGGGAAAAGCGAAAAGAAAGAAAGAAACGTTTAAATTAACACAGAAAATGAATTATACAGCTGCGGCGGGATCTGGCTGTTGCACTTACCTGCCAAAAAAGTTCTGAGTTTTATCCCCTGCAGAGGCTGTGTTGTGAGTCATTCCCGTTATTATGTAAGTATGCCCGAGGTCAGAGTGATCAGAATTCTCATTAATATTTATGAGCTGGCTGGGGTTGCGTAATGACCGACACCACGTGACGCTTACGAAACCAGTTTTGCTCAGAAATCTCGAGTTGAACAACTGGGGACGTCACAGATGTGACGGAAAATAGGTTATCCAGGTGCAAAGTAACCTTTAGGCTGATCAAATAGCTGCTGCGCCCCTCTTAGAGGTGAGCTACTTTGTGATAAAGCGAACATGGGAGAAACTCTATCAAATGAATCAAATGGACAGTGCACTACAACAGGTAGAGAATCCATACACTGAAAGACTAATTCAACGTGGAGTGTGTTGAGCTTTTGGAAGATATTCGACATTGAGGGGGGAAACAGACTGACTTCTAATTAGGTTGCAACTGGTTCTATTAATATATCAACTCTTCGTTGGTGATTGAAGAAGGGGTCATGTTCGCGTTTCCCGGCCCATCTACACACTACCTGACCTTTCTTTCATACTTTCTCAGACTCTTTTACGTCGGAGGGGTGTCACGTTGTCTTCTCTCTAATAGCATCAGCGCCGATGTCGCGTGTTCTACACTACACGACGACACAGCTATCAGCGACCCCAGAACATGTAGAACTGGCCCTAACCCAAACCCACAGCCTCAACCTAAATAATTGAAGAGACTCTTTTCAAAGAAAGCAGTACAATGTGACACCCCTCTTACCTAAATCAGACTAAGAAAGTATGCAGACGGGTTGGGAAACGTGAACAGGTCCGAAGAAGGGGACGGAGCACTTATGGGAATGCCCTGAGTGCACTGATATCAATTCTTGATTCCTTCATTTATTTCAGGTATAGATAAGGATCAGGCGAATATCACGGAAAACACAGTGGCCGCTACTTCTACTTGGTAGTTTCTTGTGCTTAGAAGTGAATGGCATGTGATGGTTCCTTATAGTTCCTCACGTGGTAGTTGTATGTAGGCTGTTGAAGTTCCGTGGAGCTGGGCAGATGTTAGCCATGCAGGCGGACTGATCATATAGCACAGGCAGATTGTTTACACTCTACAGCAGCTGTTCTCAAACTGTTTTCGCCGCGGCACCCTTGTCAACAAACAAAAACAAAAAAATCGGGCACACCTACGCTTAAAGTGGTTTGAATACTTAGGGAAATAAATCAGTGTTATGTGCACTGATAACGCGATGAATAAACCTGTTTTGATGAATTTCTAATTATTTCCTTTATGTATACGGGAAGTTTAGTTAATTTTACCCTCAAATCACTTGACCCAGAAAGTTTGGTCCTATATCTGTTTTTCATGTTAAGAATGCAGTGCAGCCGTGCCAACTGCATTGACTTCTAAATACACTTGCATCCAGAACTCTTTTTGGCTTCCTTCACGATGTTTCTGTTTTGAACTGCTGTCTTCGCTGATCTCAAGCAGATTTGGACACATTCTTAATTATTGCTGCGGCACCCCTGGCATACGCGGCACACAGTTTGAGAACCTGGGCACAAACAAACTACAAACAAACGAGGAGGATGGCAAGGCAGTCGTTTCAGAGAATTCAGCAGAGCTTTTCAGCAGAACTCAAGGAGCTGTCATTGCCTTCCAGGGACTTCCCGTAAAGTTCAGAAAGCTGTCCAGTGTTGCCACTTTGGATGTTTTACATCCAGAATAAAAAAGTAAATGCAAGACATCCCAGAAAGCAAACAACAGAGCGGCACACCCATAACATCCAGCAGGTATGACCAGTCCAAGAAAGTTACCAATGGAACGTGACCTACTTTCTGTGACATAGGTTTCATCACTCTCTGAAGGGGTTGTGTGTTAGACCCAGTTTGTCGATGTTTTTGTAGTGTTAAATGCGCTGGAATGCTGAAATATATAGAAGACGCGATACCCCCGTCACCTTGTGCCAAGGTTCAGGTGGCCCAAGGTCGACCAATCATAATTGAGATAGGCTGAAGGTCGACTGATCGGAAGTGAGCTACTGTGTATGTGGGCGGTCCGTGGGGAGACTAACGTATCTGGGCATTTCTTTTGCAGTCTCTTTCTTCTGCTACTGGGACTGAGGCTCTTGCGTTGTAAGCTCAATCGCATGATCGTCACGATCGCATGATCGTTTCCAAAGCAGCCGTCGAGTTCCGAGACAGAATTTGCTTAAAAATATAAAAATTATACAAGTTCTGATATGTTTGAATTCCGAGGTACCCCTTTACCTCTTTAATTGGGACTATAGGTGGCAGGGGACTCCAGAGGGGATTCCATAACTGTATTTGTCCTGAAAAAAGGTTGAAGACAACTGTCCTAAACACTTACTTAATATAACATGAAGTCGCATCAATATCTTCACAGGCAGAATTGTTCGCCTTATCAGTACTGCTTGTGAGGTGGCCAGCCCAATGTAAAAACTGCACCTCATTATCTAGCGGCATAGTACATGCAAAAACCTACAACTTCTCACCTTAAAAACAATAGCAAATATCTTAGGACGTGTGTTATTCTCTCGTGTCACTTCCGGCTAAGATGGCTGATAGCTGACTGAACGTTGATGCTCTTAAAAGTTATTTGTTTTCAGCTAGGTTTACTGATGCAAATTCCGCACTTCTGGTCTAAAGGTTCCGTCGCTTAGCTCTGTGACAAACATTTCACAATCTACAAACCACAAACGCATTAATATCACTTCCCGTCCTTTTAGGGTGAAATTTTTCGTTATTTGAAGCCCTACTCTGGCTTTTGCCAGGGGCCGCAATATAGCCTGGCCATAAATATGGCCTAGAGGCTGAACGCGGTTTCTGTGACCGCTCCACGGTGATCCTCACCCACAAGGTGGCATATTGTGTCATCGGGTGTTTATCGCTTGTGTGATGTCCTAGTGGGGTAGAAAGTCAGTCAGTCAGTCAACCACAGACGCTCAATATATATAAAGGAAAACAAAATTTACTGAAAATGTATAGGACTTACTGTTTGGTGCATAAAGACAGGTCAAGTGGCCGTAGAGACGAGAATGTTCTCTTTCCTGTGAGAATATCCATGATAACTTGAGACGCAGCTGTGAGCTAATTTCAGAATCTATTGATGAAATAAAATCGGTAATCAACTCTCTTTTTAACAACATCGGCGAGCGGGTCGCCCACTGGCTAGCCGGCAGACGACTTCGTCGCCGGTGAGGACATTATTAGGGTCTGTCTGCCTAGATCGCATCAACACTGCAAGAATCCTTTTCAGGGCTACTTGGTGGCCAGCAATGCTAAGCCATTTTATATGGCGTACAAAATTTGGTCACAATTATAACCTAAAGCTCTTTGGGGATGCTGGTTTAATGTGACGATTTTTTTTCCGCAAAGCAAGCCAAATCTTTTTTTCAGAATGTTGTAACTTTAACCCCGCTAATTCTGAACATTTATTACTTTTTCTAGAAAAGAAAAAGAGTGTCTTAAAGATGTACTAACCACAAAGTGTCTGTTACAATAGCGCTGAAAAACATATGCCTACAGAAATGGTGTGCTGGTATTGCGTACTGTTGGGTACCGCCTGAAAAAAAAAAAAAACCCGTACCGTTGTTAAAATAATACACACGTCATTTTCCTATAGCAGGCACTGGCGAACAGGACAGTCCAATAATAACACACAAATCAGAAAGAAATGCGAGTTTAAAAAAACAACACAAGAATGGACCTACTAATTCCTCAACAAGCATTTCGTAGGAGGGCTAACTGGAAGATTCTTTTGAAGTCAGAGTGCATCTGCCTGAGCGGCAAGGAACAACCAGCTGCACACAAATAAGCCAGTAAAATGGATGTACATACAAAACTCAGGCCCTGGAATGTTGAATCGACATCATAGCACTCCGGACATTCCCATGAGCGCTCCGTCCCCATCTTCAGTAGCGAGTGAAAAGTTCTGATTCCGATGATACCAGTAACTGTCTGAGTGCATATCCGTCTCGCCTTATCCTTAAGTGTTGAACATCGGCCAGATCCCCTGGTAACTCCCTACAGCACAATTCTACTCAAACCGTAATGAGCTATTTGTGCCTTTGGACTGTTCACTCGCACCCAATGGGCTCTTAAAATATATAACTTGTCATACATCAATTCTCCAGCAAGTGGTTCAGAACCAGCCGGTCTATCTGTCTGCTCGTTTCCCAGAGCACCGTTATTCCCTGGAGAAAATACCCAAAGGACGCTAATTACCGGGGACCTCTGAAGCGATGCTCCCAACTCTGCACGGAGCATGCCTGTCTCCAACTATCTCGACATGCAATGTGGGTCAGTTACAATCACGGCATGTGTGTACAGCTGATTCTCAAGCCAGCATAAGACTACAGCGACTGCCTCCAACTCCATTCTCAAACTACACGTTGTGATATCATAAACTAGGCTTTGTTCCACTAAGCGACGTCCATTCGCTTTTGCTACGAACCTCCATGCACCTTGTCTGTCTCTCAACACAGAGCCATCTGTATAGATAATCACATCACTTGGGCGGTGTTTGTCATGAATCAGTTGTTAAACTTTTGATTCTGCAGCACAAGCTGGCCGGTCTCTGCACTCACGTCCTGAAGTGATTAGAACCCTACACAAATCGTAATCCTCCTCGGACACTCTGACCCACTCCTTTCTCGCCCAAATGTATCAACCCAGCACACATATATAATTGTGTCTTTATCCTGCGCCATCCAAGACCTTCCTCTTTTCAGTCTGTGACTCTTTGTTCTACCTGGGGCTTCATGCAAGAGGTGCTTCTTGTCTGCAGCTACTCTGAGATATGACTTTGCTTGCAGAACTTTGAGCCTATATGCAATAGTAGGCAGTGCAAGTATATATCGCATACACAGAACCGAGACATCTCTTGTACATCCCAGAATGACACACATGTCTTCATTTTGTAGGCACTCAAGTTTCATCAGGGAACTCTTTAATATGAATGTCTCTTTTCTAAGACCATAATCTATCACCGACAGGATTATATGCTGGAACATTGTGAACAACATTATTTGTTCCATATCCGGAGAGTATAAACGGCATTCTGTCTGGGAGCCGCCGTGGTGCAGCGGCTAGGTGCTCGCTTGCGGATTCGAAGATCATGAGTTAAAATTTTAACAGAACCGAACTTTCATTTTCAAACAAGACCTTGGTTCCCAAGTCGACTCAGTTGAAATGGGTACCAGGTAACGTCGTGGGAAGTAAACGTTGCCGGTGTGCTGTTGACCACATCACCCACTGAGTGCCGATTGATCTATAACATATAGGTCTATCTATATAGGCTCAATGCGTCTGAAGTCACCGAAAAGGGTCCTTTACTTTACAAGCTTTGTAGATGAATGGCAAAATCCGCACACCAGGGCTGCCAATGTAAATTTTTTGAAAAAACCCAGCTAAGTTAACCAAAAACCCAAGCAATAAATAGGTAAGGAACAAAAATTTAAAAAACCCAGATTGTTAAAATGTGCTAAATTAATTGTTACGAAACGAAACATTTACCACTTTTATATAAGGAGATATAAAAAACAAACACAGATTTTCCGAAAGAGTCATACGAAAACCCAGATCTGGAGGAAAAACCCAGCATTGGTAGCCCTGACAGAAACACATTGTAATCCGATAACGTGGTGGTCGTGTCAGGTAGCGAGCGATGACCGATTGATCTTATCGGCGCAGAACATTGTGTTTACAAGTGCTTGACCCCTGTTTCCCCCTGTCTTTCACTAGTGATGACGTTTTGGTTTTGGCTCTTAACAGGAGCCGCCGTGATGTAGCGGTTAGATGCTCGTCTGCTGGGAGGGAGGGTCTGAAGGGTGTGGGGGTCAGGTCCGGGTGAAGATGAACTTAAAAAAAAATCAACTCAGTTCACAAGTTAACCCAGCCTCAAATGGGTACCAGGTAAAGTCCTGGGAAGTAAAGGCGGTCGGCGTGACGTTGACCACATCACCCACCGAGTGCTGCATGGTCAACAAAAATATGGGTCTTGCCCTATGTGCCCAATGCTCCTAAAGGCGTGGAAACGGGCCCTTTTACTTTACTTACTGTGAAAAGGCAATTCGAAGTCACTTTGTTTAGGTCAGTCTGTGCTGTTAGTCTACGCCCACATACACCTCTACACACAAGCTCACAAACACACACACACACACACACATAACGCGCGCATACGCAGAAAATATGTTTCAAAGACAATTTGTGGGTTGTACTACAGACAACCAAAAACTCGGTAGGTCACGTGATTTCATTCACTATCAATTATGGCCGGACGAAAAAGGCGGGGGGATTTGTATCAATCCACAGATTTATGCTATGTTTGGAAATATCTCCATATCCATGCTATGTTTGGAAATATCTCCATATCCATGCTAGGTTTGGAAATATCTCCATATCCATGCTATGTTTGGAAATATCTCCATATCCATGCTATGTTTGGAAATATCTCCATATCCATGCTATGTTTGGAAATATCTCCATATCCATGCTATGTTTGGAAATATCTCCATACCCATGCTATGTTTGGAAATATCTCCATATCCATGCTATGTTTGGAAATATCTCCATATCCATGCTATGTTTGGAAATATCTCCATATCCATGCTATGTTTGGAAATATCTCCATATCCATGCTATGTTTGGAAATATCTCCATACCCATGCTATGTTTGGAAATATCTCCATATCCATGCTATGTTTGGAAATATCTCCATATCCATGCTATGTTTGGAAATATCTCCGTATCCATGCTATGTTTGGAAATATCTCCATATCCATGCTATGTTTGGAAATATCTCCATATCCATGCTATGTTTGGAAATATCTCCATATCCATGCTATCTTCCTCCTTATTCTCCTCCTTTTTCTGTTCCTTTTCCGTATTCTTCTTCTCCTTCTTCTTCTTTCTCTCTCTCTCTCTCTCTCTCTCTCTCTCTCTCTCTCTATCTATCTATCTATCTATCTATCTATCTATCTATCTATCTATCTATCTATCTATCTATCTATCTATCTATCTATCTATCTATCTATCTATCTATCTATCTATCTATCTATCTATCTATCTATCTATCTATCTATCTATCTATCTATCTATCTATCTATCTATCTATCTATCTCTGTCTGTCTGTCTGTCTGTCTGTCTGTCTGTCTGTCTGTCTGTCTGTCTGTCTGTCTGTCTGTCTGTCTGTCTGTCTGTCTGTCTGTCTGTCTGTCTGTCTGTCTGTCTGTCTGTCTGTCTGTCTGTCTGTCCGTCCGTCCGTCTATCTCTCTCTCTCATATGCATCATAGATTAATGCAAAATTAACATCCCAACAATTCGGAACGAATATACGATCAAAAGACCTAATTACTGTTTAACATTTTTTTAAAAGCAATAGGACATATACCCGCTTATCTCAGTCAGCAGCTCCTCTACAGAACAAAGCTCTCTCCATTGCAACCCGGATGTTTTCCTTTTTCTTTAGCCAATTTCCCACCCCTGTGTGCTTTTCAGCCGACCATCTCGCATGTTCTGTATTTACTTTCGCGGTGTTCGCTTTCTGTCTGTTTTTTCCCCACCGGAAACTGCACTTACAATTCTCCCCCCCCCCCTCCCCCCCGACATATACAGAATACATCTTCTGTCGGGAGAGGATGCTGTTTACAACAGTTTAGGGCCTTGTGGAGTCTAAATCCAGACCTGCCTGTAATAATTTTACTCAGGCTGGCCTATGATAATAGAAAATTTGTGTACGTTTGTAATAATTTTTATTACCATATATATATGAATACAACTGAAATTAATCAACATTTTGTACTTACATATACCAGGAACAACCGCAGATGAGAGTCTAAAACAACAATCGCCAGAGAAATTTGCAATGGTCCGATGGCAGTTGGGTGAGAGAGCGAAACCACAATCACTGGAGAAAAGTTGCTGACTATGGTACAATCCGGTCAAGTTTACACACTTAAAAGCAGCGAGAAAGAGGTCACGTGCTCTGTCACGCTCCATAAAATTCCGTCGATTGTATAACGCAACTGATTTCGCACAAGGTCGCTCTGTTTTTGTTGTTTTAG